TTTGCAAATACGATAAACGATTGGAATAAGCTTCCCGAGCATATTATAAATCGCAAAAATATTTCAAAGCTTGAGGATGCTGTTAGACTTCTGCGTTGTGTTTAAAACGTAAGCATATCGCCTCGGTGTTATTTTTTCTTGTTTCACTGTCTTTGAAGTTAAATATGTATATATCGCGTCATTCTTTGAGTGTTGTATTCAAGTTGTCTCTCTATATTGTCTTCTTTGTTATCGGTTCGAACGTATGCGGCACGTGCCTTCGATTATGAATGTTTATTGTGATCATGCATACTGTTATTGTTAAAGTGACTATCGCTTTTTTGTACGTGAAGTTAGTTTCTTTTTTTATTTTCATTGTGCTATGGGCGCGACCTGCATCAAATTTTATAAATACGGTATTGTTCAAGGTTTTTACTGGAGTTATGAACTGTATTGTTTTGTTATATATTGTTCCTCCCTGCCACGGCGCACGGGCCTGCAGTATGCATAAATAAATAAATAAAAAAAAAGTATGAAACAAAAACTTTTATTTGCTCTGAAATCGTCGACCGCATTTGTAGTAATTTTTTTTAAAAATAACAACAATAATCTAAAGATAATTGTTCTAACAAAATTAGTACACCGATTTCAAGATGAATTACACTAGCTATAAATCACTGCCATCCTGATTACTTGAGGTGCGTATTGCGTACGTCTGCGGTTGCAAGGGAAATTGTATCAAAAGCTCAAAACCGATGATTACAACACGTTCTTACTATCGACTGCAGTCTGGTCCGCATAATTTGTGACATGAAGCCTACCGCGTCTGCTGGACGATCGCTCCCGCTGTACTGCCAATGCAAGTAGAATTGGGGCGTTTCGCGTATAAAAACGCAGGCAACTATCAGTACCATTAGCTAATGCCGAGTGACGACATATTAGCAGCAAGAAAAAGTGAGAGTCGATCTACCTGTGTATCACTGTGACATTGGAACGTTAAAAAGCACTTCAGAGGGAGTGAGAAATATAACTTACTAGCGAATAACCCTTTCGTTGACTCTTACGCCTATAAAGCAATCAGGGACGATTTCGCGTCCCCGCTCTTTGGCGAAATCTCTGTGCATACAAAAAATGTGCACGAAACATGCATGTGCTTAGTAGGATGTTTCCTTTTCTTCCCAGCTCATCTTGCTTAAACTCTTATTCGATGTAGATACTGCGAACTTTATGATTCTAGTTTACTCGGGAAGCAGAAGTCTTCCCGTGTCGATGCACTTTTATTTGCATTTTCTATGTTGTCTTCCCTCGCTTCGGCTTGAGTACGATGATAGATCCCAAGTATAATTGCCAAATATAATATAAAAATACCCTGTATATATATATATATATATATACAGGGTGTTTTTTTTTTAAGCTTAACAGATTGGTTTAAAAAAAGCAGTGAAAGTAACAATTCTGCCGCTTGTGGAGGTGAGTTATATATATATATATATATATATATATACAGTGCGCAACCCACCTCTCAGCGCGTTCTCTTTGTTGTATGTATATATATATATATATATATATATATATATACACAACAAAGAGAACGCGCTGAGAGGTGGGTTGCGCACTGTTCAAAAAGAAAAAATATCTTTAGCGTTCAGTCATACTGGAGTGGTCTTTTTTTAAATCTTAATTATACCTGCTTAATGTCTAACGAACTGTAGCAAGGCGTGAAGTTTGGCTGTCGTTGGTTGGTCATGCTTGGGTGATAAAATTGTGCAAAAGACGGAATACAAGCGGAAGGAGTACACAAACACAGCGCGGTATTTGTGTAGTCCTTCCACTTGTCTTCAGTCGTAGGAGCAGTTTTTGTTTACTCCACCAACGTAGCTTATATTTACAAATTGCTACGGACACTATTTGGTACAGCTAGAGGTAATCATTTATAGAGAAGTATATAAAATAATATCAACAATATTATTTGCAAGTTTATTTTCAGTCATTAGTCGCGAGACAGCACGGCGGCACAAGAGAATTACGGATCACCTGTTCAGCGCACTGGAACAGAATTTAGAATCAGCCATTACTTAACATCCAGGTTTGATAAATGACTTAAGCGAGTGATGCGATCACCTTAATACGAAAAAGAATGTGATAATGTAAATTCAGCGAATATTCACGAGTAACAGCAGTACGAGGACTCCGAAATTAGCGAATTTCAGAGGCCAGCAAAGCTGCTATTGCTGCAAGCATTGCTCGATGCATAAATGTGCCCGTCCTTATCTGGAAGTATTGAGTGCGGTCATGCTATTTTTCTTGGGGGGCTAATATAGTCATATACAATCTAACCAAGACAGCGGAAGGCGGAAAAGTGCGGAAACTAGGAAAGCTGAAGTGGAGTGGAGAGATCTCCACCCCACAACGGCGTTTCTCGTGCGCGCTCTTCTCCCCCTCGCACTGTCTTTCTTATGTTGTATCTGACTAGAGCCAAGGGAGAACACTTGTCATAGGCCGAGTAGACGCATATACAGTGAACATTGTTCATAAATTTTACAAGCGGACCTTCTGTACAGCCTTCTTTACTTTTGAGCGTCAGAAATTGACCGCAAAACATAATATGCCTGTGAACCCGTAGTACTGCGGAATTTATTTAGGCCGCCACAGACTGGTATTTATTTACATATTATTGTTTTGCTTTGGTGAATGCTTGCCTAAAAGAGATACGTCATAATTTGTTTAACCAACATAACGATATGTCAAATCTTGAAAGGTAGTCCCAAGACAAAAGTCAATATTTGCCATTTGATACACTGTCTATAAGACTTCGTCGCTTTCTGCAGCGACGTTGAGTTTAAACCGGAAGCTTGAAAGACAGGTGGGTCTTGCACTCATCATATTTAAAGTCAGCCTGAAGCGGCGTACGACGTTTAAGTTTGTCTTATAAAAGGACGCCATATATATCTGTTGTGGGAGTAACAAAGAAGATAAGCTTTTTCATCACGTCACTGCCAGATTCGGTTGTGTCACCGCTAGACTTCTGTCATTTATATATGCTACAGATATTTCTCATTCTTAACAGATTGGTAGCAATAGCAATGGCAGTGTCTACTCACAACGACATGCCTTCTGCCGACAAAATGAAATGTTTGGGACTGTACCTTCGCCTAAGAACATGACGTACGATGACGCCGAGCTAAGTAGTATTTAAATAAATCAAGTGTTGGTAAGGCATAGGAATAATTTAGGCTAAGGGCGGGAACAAAAGTATACAATTACTTTAGTACAGGCGGATATTAATTGTCGAACACGCAAACGATACTATAATACTCTAAACTGAGCACAACCAAAACGCCGTCCCTACTCCACCAATACTAAAGCGCATTCCTGTGAGCAGCCTATTTTTTGAAAGTTTTAAGAAAAAAATCTCTCAGAATTTGCTTCAAACATAAAATAACGTGCCGTGTGTAACTGAATTGGTCAACAGGCACCTTCCCGTCAATGGAATATATTTGTTGATTATCACTGGTTCAACGCAACTGTTTTGAAATATATATCTCTTGCATAGATTCTGAAAGGCATCATCAAGATTGGATCCATGCTTGGCACCAGTCGATTCGGATTCTAAGTTTCTATTAAAAGTGTGAAAAATTAATAACTGAATGTTAATTGAATTGTTCTAGGAAACAGTGAGTAATTCTTTCCTTTCTCCATGTCACCAGCGCAATGGTCCATAAAACATCGAGGCCTAAAAAAGTCAAAACTCACACTTTATGTTCGCCTGAACGCATCAGAGGTTAAAAAATATTCGATGTATCGTATAGGCGCACTAAAAAAATAATACATATGGCACGTCTAGCACATTTAAACTCGCTTATATTGATGACACAGTATTGGATTATCAAGAATATTATATAAAATTGCATGTGAGTCGGAACTCTAGTCTTCATGCATCCGGGACGCAATTGTTTGTAAATAACCATTCTTGATCATCTTTATTTCTTAATTTTTATTTGGCACTATTTGGAATGGTGAATCTGGAGAAACACCTCCCTGATTAGTGATCGGATATGGGTAAAAGTATACAATTGAAATTCACATCGGCGAGTATATATTTGCAGCACACGTCAATTCCAAAGTTCATAAGCAAACATCACTATATTTCCATAAACGTGGAGTGGTTTTAGCGAAATCTATTAACATGGTAGCAGATTACTGTGAGTAGCTTTCTTTTCTTTTTTTGCTTCAGCGATCTTTAAAATGTCATGACAAGTTTGTTTCTAGAATGTAATCCTACCGGCACAATCTCGTAATTAATGAAGTGGATTTTATCTGTGGTATTGATTGTCAACCGAACTCCATCATCATCAAAATAATTTTTCTTTTTCGCAGAAATAATCGTATAAACACCTTGTTCTGTTGAAATACGAAGATAAAACTGTACGTGATTTAAAACATCATAGTCGCTGTTAACCGGCAGAAATATATAATTACTTAAAAAACTGAAATACTACATGAGGATATATTGACATCGCAGTAGTATATTGTTTAAAGACATATAGTAAATATCTGCTCTCGTAATGGACAATATAATGCATCGACGTTAGCAAGAAAAGTTTTAAGATTAAAAAAAATGTCAATTGTAATAAAATATTGACATGCAGAATATATGGAAACTACTTAACTTAAATGATGCCTTTGATCCGCGTTACAACGCCGATATTTTATTGAGTTATTTTAAATAGAGCTACTTGTAGTAATATATAAAAAATAAATAATTAATAATAGCAGATATATATACTTTAAATGAGTCGCTCTGGCATTTAATGCGCTAAGAGCAGCCTAGGTAGATCCACATAAAGCTCCAGACCAATGGATGTGTATATGTTAACTGTACGGCAACATTTCGCATATAACGTGAAATATATATTATTAAAGGCTTCGTTCTCACTTCCTACCTTCGGAAGCAAGTACAGGGCACACGTGGCCCTACTTCCTTTTGCTTCCATGCCCATACGCTTTATTCTATCATGGTTTCAAGCAATGACACAGCTACTCCTGTAGTTAGCCACGAGTCGTATGGTCATTTCCTGCTGAGGAGATGCATCATCCATCTTGCCATTACTGCCCGCTTCCTGATTCATGACCTCCCAAAATGAAGTACCGCGATGGAATTCGGGGGACGCCGTCCTTGTGGGAGACGTCGGGTCTTCGCTTCCTGGCGGGTCGTTGGTAAGCCGAGCTTCTTCGGGAGGCCCCTGGGTGTTGGACGCTTCGTCGTTGACCTCGTCTTCGTGCTGAGGACGGTCGTCAGAAACGTTTGTTTCGACCGTTGCCACGGCATTGTTTCGGATACGAAGGATTTCGCTTTGCGACAGGCTGTCCTCGTAAGGGTACAGCTCGTGGTGCTCGATGCCGTGCTCAACAAAGTCGGCGCCCAGAAGTTCGTGCTCGGGGCTCATCCGAAGTGGCGTCACTTTGTTGATGAGCTGCGGAAAAAAAAAAAACAAGAACAAAGAACAATCGTTTGCAAGGTTTTACTTGTTATCAGAGGCGGGAGGCGCTCACTTGATCGAATGACGTTTTAGCGAACGCCCACGTTTCACCGAATGACACTAGCAAATAGTCGGACGCCGCGAAGCGGCGTTTTCGGGTGGGCCGAATGGGTTCACATTTTTGTAATGAGCCTCCGCAGACTGTCGCCGCGAAGCGGCGTAAGCGCAGCACGGCGGATGGGTTAACGCGCGCCCCCGTTATTCGATAAAACGTCGATTCGCTCAAATGTCGCTGTTCGCTATAACGTCATTCGCTCATGTGTTATGGACCCATCGGAGGCATATGGTTCTTGTTTACGCCTAAAAGCGAAGTCTGCGATGGGACAGTGAGTGCGGTATTTCAAACTGCCCATTGTTTTATCGATTTTATTTTCATGCTCAACAATACATTAGTCCTCATAACTCCCCAAGCACATTCTGTAGAATGCAGAGATTAGCTCTCCAAGTGCTCTGCGGAAAAGTCGACGCACACGTATCTTTCAAGCGCAGGTGACCGATCTTCTTTCAAAAGTAAGCATTACTGCCAAAAGCCTGAATGTGAAAGTTGTTATTGTTTAATAAATCAGACTGCTTTTTTGTACATATATGCACCGAAAAATTGAGGGAGAGGAGGAGACGAAAACCAGTAGGTACATCAGAACGCCGAGCTCTGATTGGAAAGGTTAATGGGTAGACTTAAAGCTGTAGCTGCCTTTATCTCCTATGGACCCGTCGAATTCGTTAGAACGCGGAAAGTCGGCGTCCGGCGTTTGGCTTTTGATTTCGAACGCGTTCGGCGAGTGCAGTGGAGACAAAGTCATATTTCTTTAGGTCTACCCACAATTCTTTGCGATCAGAGCTCGGCGTTCCGGCATCCCCGCGTGCTCTCGTCTCCTTCTCTCTCGCCTTTTTTCGACGTATCACAGCATATTTGAGTGGTACGCGTAAATCTAAGATGATACCTTGCAATGTTGAGAAACGCATATGCCTGAACAGGTTTCTAGACGAGGCAAATGAAGATCTCACGTGGATACTTCGAAGCAATTATATAAATGTGATCCGCAATAAAAAAAAGGTTTCAGCAAAATACCAGCAAGTGCCAAACACGCTAAAGCGCTACCCATAAAAAGAAAAAAAAAACTTTGTTCGTAAAGAACTTTTAGGGTGTCTTCGGCTTGTTCATATTTAGCACCCTAAAAGCGTTCTTTTGGGCATTTCCTAAAAAGGCTATCCGTGAAAAACCTCTGAGTTGTTCATTTAAGCTCCTTTTTTGATGCAAATTAGCTCTTCATCGCCCAGTTGCCATTATAGTGCGCCAGGGGGCGATAGTGCTTCAGGCGAAACCGTTCTTCAGGGGCTGAAAGAGTTCTTGTGTCTTTGAACTCATACAAAAATGGTCTATGGTCATCTATGAAAGATTCTATGGCAGACTATCTCCTCCTTTGGCCCTTTATGGTCGGTCATAGAAATCCATACAGCTACAGCCAGCCATAGAAAAATCTGTGGCCCTGCGTCTAAAAACTTGGAACCAATACATTTTCTTTACCTACCTATAGAAAATTCTATGGCCACCAATCTGGGAGCCAATAAATTGTCTTTAGCCGCAATAGAAAATACTATGTCCCCAAGTGTCAAGACTCGAAACTAATACATTTTATTACCCTCCTATAGAATATCTTATGGCCCAATACTAAAGACAAGGAACCAATAAATTCTCTTTGCCCGCCCATAGAACGTCTTATGGAACCCTGTCTAAAGATAATACCAGTAAATGTGCTTCAGCATGCTATAGAAAATCGGAAGTCTCCTAGGCTCTAGGTTTGTGATTATTAAACTAATATTTTTTATTTAGCCAGACATAAATAAGTGAATGCCTCAAAAGCTATAGACCAGTTAGCATTAAATTCTCTTTAGCCACCTATAGAAAAAATTATCTCCTAGGCTATTCGTGACTCCAGCGAAATATAGAGGGCGCGCGGGTCCGTCAAAATGGCTGAAGAAATTAGGTCCTTTTCGTCGTTCAGCACGCGGACCACCATAAATGTCTTGCACTGCAGCGTAGAATCGGTATTGCATATGAAAGCAGTGCGAGTTTTCGATGGTAAAAACCATATAGGATGCTATAAATGGCTAAAGACGCCAAAGGAAAAGCCATAGGTAGCTATGCATGCAGGCTATAGGAAGCCATAGGATGACACACATAACATTTTTAGCAGAGCATGTAAAAAGCTATAGATGGCTAAAGAAACCAACGGAAAAGCAATAGGAAGCTATAGCATGCTAACTTAAAAGAGCCATATAATTACCCATACAGCATTCTTTAGCAAACCATATAAAAAACTATAAATGGCTAATTTCACAAGGGAAAATCAGTAGGCAGCTTCAGCATGTACTTAAAGAAAAAGGGGGAGGAGAAATGAAGGAAAAAGCGATGTTCCTCCCTGTCGCCAGTGGAAGGGAGGAAATTGCTCCCGTTCCTCCATTTTACCGATCACATGCAGCACCACCTGGTGGCGCCTGAAAAAAGGACAAAATTCCTCCCCCATGTTTTGCGGCGGCAGCGGCTGTCGAACAGCCGCTGCCGCAGCGAACATTTTTACTGGCGGTGACGGCAACTTAGGGCGTGGTTGCAGTCACCTAGAGCAATACCACCACTGCACATGCGCGGTGCTAGCGGAGGAAAAGCAGAGCTGTGAAGACTATAGTCGGTTCCAACTTCCCAGTCAAGAAGGTAGGAGGAGCTCCTCCCACAAGCGTGATGCGCCGGTTTCAAATCCCTCCGCAGTCGAAAGAATAGTTCACTGCAAAGGCTCCTTCCGCTTTTATGGATAGGTATTGGCTACAGAGTGATGCCAACTTGTCTCCAATTCAGTTTTTAAGAAAGCGACCTTTGTATTCATTCGAGGGGGAACCGAGCCCCTGAAAGCAGCCTTTGTATCCATCAGAGGGGGAACCTGATCCTCGAAAGTCGTATTTGTTTCCATCGGAGGGGGAAAACTCTAATCTCCCTCTCGAGGCTTCCGCAATGCTCAGTCAAAGTTGAAAGATAAAGCAGATATGTACAGAAAGGCAAGACTCTCCTCGTGCGTTGGCCGCGACGTCGCGGAAACGATGGAACGCTATTGGATGCGGAGGTGGCGGACGGATATATGATTCCCTTCGAGGGGCATTTGCCGCTACCTTCTTGACTTGTAACCTACTATAGCTAAAAAGCGCGACGCGTAGCGCATCGTGTGTCTCGCGAGAGTCACGACGTATGCGCCCACTTCGAGATCGCGCTTGTTTATTGTGGATGAAACCTTGCTGCTGCGGTAAGTACAGGTGGCGACATATCACAAGCATGGGAAATACGACCACTTTCGTCGCGTTGCTTGCTACATGACAAGCAGACATAGTAACCCTGGAGCCAGGGAACAAAAAAGAAGGACGGAAAGACATGAAACAATGTCTATCACTAACCAGCTCGCCTGCCTACTGCTTATCTTTACTGACAAGTAGGGTGCGGAAAAAATGAATCGTCGTAATCTTGGACTTTTGTTTGCGTGATCACATAGCTGTCAAGACGTCTGCTCTATTCGAGTCGACCTGTGTCCACGTTCCTACCCCCAACCTGCGCGAGAAACGTATACTCTTGAAATAAAGCGTACGTACCATACAGCGAAAGATAATCCGTGCGACGTTTATTTCAGTTCTGTGTTCTGCTGGTGTTCTCTGTATTCTGTGTGTTCAGTGATCATGATGTAGAAAACCCGAGACTGCAGTAAAAGCAGGGAAACTTGGTAAAAGAAGGAAGACAGGGGAAAATAATTTATGTGTATCTACCCTGTGGCGTTAAAAAATCGGGAAAATTTGAATTTTTTTAAAGAGTGTGTTGGCTAAAGAAAGCCCCACGAAAACCCATTCAGCCTTCTTTGACAGACCATAAAAATGGCTAAAGACGCCAAAGGAAAAGCCATAGGCAGCTATAGCATGCTGGATAAAGAGAGCCATAGGATGACCCACAGATCTTTCTTCAGCAGGACACCTAAGAAGCTTCAGGTGGCTAAATCAGCCAACGGAAAAGCAATAGACACTTATAACATGTTGGCTTAAGAAAGCTGAAGGATAAGCCATATAAAAGTATTTAGCCAGCCATTAGAAAAACTAAAGAGCGCTGTGACTAGACAGTGATAGGCCCATAGACGAAGCTAAAGAGGTCTATAAAGGCGACCATAAAAATACCAAAGACCGCCATATACAAGTTTTTAGCTAATTGGGCCCAATAGCTAAAGCCGACCATAGAAAGAAATTTCTATAGCAAACCATAGGACATTTGTGTATGGGAAGAACCTTTCAATAACGGACTTTTTTAGAGAGTAGATGCTACCATTCACTACACATCACTTTGGGAGATTCTAGGCAAAAATGGATGAGGCTGTCGCGCTTAAAGGCGCTCTGTTCGGGTGATTTCAGCTGATTCATTTGGTGACTTTCACTACTAGAGTCAGTACCCGCTTACAGTACGTTTATTTTGTTGCTTTTTAGTATTGGTGGTGCTTACAAGCAGCTTATCTGTTCTCTAGTGCTTTTTGTTTTAATCGTGCCCTTTTGAGTTGGAGACTTCAAATCCAAGGCATACTAAGGTAAAAAAATGACACGCGAGCGACTAACTCTACCTTGAGGACAATGAACGTCACCCCCGAGCTCCAGACAATGATGGTGATGCAGGCGACGAACTGGATGCCCAGCAATTGATAGCCCCCTCCCTTGAAGAGCCCCCGGCGGTGGTAGCGTAGTCCCTGGTAGCGTGTGGCATCCAGGAATAGCCCCACGGCCAGCATGCCCCAGAGACCACCAACTCCGTGGATGGCGGCTGCGTTCACGGGGTCGTCGACGCTGAAGCAGCGGCGAAGCAGGGACGGGATCGGGGTTGTGCACAGGCCCCCGACAGCGCCGATCAACAGTGCCTCCCAAGAACGGTAGAAGGCTGATCCAGCTGAAAATTGTATTTGAAGAAATCGGTTGACATTTTGAGGCACAGATCCTAGTTATAAACAGTTGTAACATAAGTACTTAACTAAATATAAAAGTATAGTTCGGGCTACTACAGTCGGAAATAAGTGAAGAACGTGCAAATAAAAGCACCCCCAAGTGGCCGCCAAGGCATTGAATCGCTTCACGAACGAACCAGGAAAAACTAGTAGTCTTGACGACTTATCAGAAGGAGACGCCAGCCTGACGTGCCTTTTGGTGTCGATCTATTTGCTCATCGCGAAGAAACAGTGGCTGGCACTAATGTGGTCGTGGAAGGAGTTTCTGGTGCATTCTTCACTTACATCTGACCATCGTGTTTGCTGTTTAATAAACGTGACAGCCATTAGACATTTGATCGGTTTTCGGTATGTTAAAAATAGCAATTCGAGTTTATAGTTAGTACATTGCACAGGTTATACATGTTAAAAAAAATTCAAGAAAGTTTACGTTACGCGGTCATGATGCGTATTTTTGCATAACGGGAAGATGCGCGTAAAACAATGTGCTGGACTTTTTGGCGAAGAATGGCTACTGTGCCTTAACATGAGTTGATTCAATGAGTTCCGTTTTCGGGTTGTGCTGTAAAATTATTAAAATATGATTTGGAATTCATCCGTATGCTCGTGTTTATTTTGATGTCCGTACTAAATTCGAAGTAAGAAAATAGTTTTTTTAAAGATGATCAACCAACTTGCTTAACTTAGCGCCTTGTTAAGAACATAAGGTTAATCAAAGAAATGTTGCAGTTTTATAAAAATCACATGAGCGAGAGTTCACTCACGAGTCTTCGACCGTAAAACACGTAAATACCCCTCGTGAGACTTACAGAAGAAAGAGTGATGTTAGTTATTCATTCCTTTTACTACTTTAACTCAGCACTGTGTCCTCGACAGGTAAACACTTTCTCACTGAACTGCACTACTCCTGAACATGTGCTTTGCAGTGGACCTTATCAAAATATCTTATAACATCTAGGCTCCCTTTGGTTATTCAAAAAACAGCTTACCACAGGTTAGAAGAACGAAATCCAATGACAACGGCAATAATACTTTTTTGTCTTGAATACAAAAATAATTAAATAGTTGCGGATTTGCCATCATGAACATTTAAGAATTTTCAGTGACTAAAAATAGTCTTATTTGTACATGTATTGCACAATGATTTAGTACAATACCACCCTACCTTAAAGTTGTTTTTGCATTTTTGTTTTTTAAAGGAATAGCTGAAAAATAAACACGGAGAGGTGGCGTTTTTAACATTTGGAGATGCTACGACATGTGTACGAGAAGGTCAAACCGGTCATTGAATGCGTTGCAGAGAGGATTAGGTTTCCTGTACGAGCGAAGCACTCATCGCCCAAAAATTTGGTTTTCCCTACCTCCTACAAAAAAAAAAAAAAAATGAAATCCAGCAATATGTGGGATAATGAAAGGTTTGGATCAAAAAAGAAAAAAGAGTTTGAGAGAAGGTTTATTGAAAGTTAGAAATGATCTCACGTTTTGCTTCGCGTGGTGTTTTCAAACGTAAAGAGCGAAGCATTATTTTTTGAAAAGTGAACCAGGCGGTGGAATGTGGTTGTGAACTTGTGATACACAATTGAACAAACCTCCGTTTAACATCAGGTAGCGCCGAAAGTGTCTCATCATGACACTCGTCTCCTTTGTACCATTGGCTGAACCCATGACGCACAGTTATTGCGGCATGACCGTACGCTCTTCCTGTGCGTAGTAAGTTTAACCACTCATGACGAAGCACATTTGGCGCAGATTAATTCGTTCCATCGGATCGCATAGACCCGCTCAACTCACTGACGTCACGCCACTGCGGTGGCACTGCTGTTGGTACTGCGCATGCGCAAATGCTTCACTCCTTCCGTGTTTGGTTTCTGCGCACGCGCAGTGCCTACACCTTGAGTGGGTAAAGCGAGCTTGTTTGGAAACACTGTGTTGGTCTATAGCTTTGGCTGTGCTCGGTCTTCACGTGAAACGAAGTATAAGGTGATTTATGAGCCCATTGTACCTTTGCAGTGTAGCCAAAGTTGGCCCCTTGAAAAGGTCGACAGTGCCATATCTGCTTTTCACGTATATCCGAAATATCGTACTTCTTAAGCCTGATAAATTATTCGCCTGATGTGCAGGCTGTCGAGGATAAGAATAATGCCAATCGATAATCTCACGGCCGTCCCTGGAGCGACTCTTACGTTCCAGGAGAGCGAGTAGAGGTTTGTCAGTCGAGTGAGTTCTTTTTCTTACGGAAAAGAACGGATAGCTTAGCGGCGTGTGCCAGTTCCTTGGTTTTTCGTTTCGCGGTGGTCGGGCCACAGTGTCATGTTGTACGCGTGTGAGGGGTTCTCGGCTAGCTTGATAATGTTTATATCGTTTACTACTGCATCACTTACTATTGCGTCTGTCGAAGTTCTGACGTCCGTTTATTGAAGCTCTTTTGAATACCTAGTTTTATAATACTATTGAGCTATTGAGTTGATACCAAATATATGGTAAAAAAAACTATTTGAACTCTTTCTATGGCAATTAGCTATGATAATCTTGTCCTGTCTTTATGGCCACGCGGCAACTTATTTTTACATCGGTTAGTTTTATTCATGTAATATATATATATATATATATATATATATATATATATATATATAATTAAATGCCCTCTGCATGAGCCCAGGCGTGCCGATTAATTATATGAAATACCCAGCCCAAATCTGGGTCAGAAAAAGGGGAAGAAACACGGTTTATAAATATGCTAGTTTAAAGACGAATTATTGCTGTCTGGCTTCTGCAAACATTAGATAAATCAAGTCATTGTCAATAATTTTTTTTGACTCCCTGAGTTACAGATTCGCGATGTCAAAGCACAAAATATTAAAACTGAAACGTTCTTCAAATGAAGGGCTTCAGTCCAGAAATGTCATCCCTGTCATCCTAAGTGCAGAATCAAATATTGTTATGTAATGTAGATGTAAGTAGTAAAAAAGCAGCAGCAAACCGCGTCGATACTTGGCACGTAAGAAAAGACGTGTGAGATGCTAGGTTCCCGTTAAACCGATTTCTGCGAGCTGTAGAAGCGTTTTCAATATATCTTGACTCTAGTAAAGTAAAGCGAGTAAAACCAGTTAAAAATGACAACCTGTCACACAGTTGTTTCTGCCAGAGATTATAGCATATTGTATACGTGGTATTGAGCATGCTAGTTATACGACCGATTGGGCCCGAGAAATAGTAAGCATTGTTGTATCAGTAAAAGAAAAAAAAAAAAGGTGTACGCTAGAATTTCGCTTATATTCAAACATGTATAAGTTATTCAGTAGCCAATAAGCAAAGCGTGCTTTATAATAAATAATACTGACGAATTGAGGTGTTTAGATACTTTAAATCAAATGAAGAAATTAAATGACACACCGAAAAAGTCGCCAAAGACGTTTAAGGCTGCTTACATGTAGGAATGCGAAAGCATTCCTACACGCAGCGCATTTTTACGAGCAGCGCTCCACTTCTTCCTTTCGCACAAATGCTCCAGCGGTGACATCACGCTCCCCCACTGCGCAGTCGTGGCGAACTCCGCCGGTTTCACGACGGCTTCTGTGACCAATCATATGCGTTGCTGCGCTTTTCTTCGTATTTTAATTATGAGGCGCGTCCGCTATGAAATTGAGCCCCCCGCCACCTACCGTGACGAAGCATCTGCGTGGCTATGCTTTTTTGGGGTTTTATTTCTAAGGCGCGTGCTTGATGACGTAGTTTTATGACCATCTTTCAGGGACAACGCCGACGGTGTCTCGCGTAATGGGACAAGTAAGGCTTTCGCCTTAAAAAAATCATCATCCTCCGCATTGTATTACACTTCGCCCCTTCGTAAAATAGGGAACACTTGGGGGAAAATATGCAAAAACATGGTCACAAACTAAAAGTGCAAGGTCATGCCGCTTTTACTGTTCTTGATTTGCCAAAAAGAACGCAGGAGCAGAAAGATGACAAACATCGTAACGTTGGGTTTGTCGCAATGCCTAATGGGCCCCATAATTCTGCAGTATAATCTGAGTTCTTACTTATGGTGAAAGGCATGGCGGAAAACAGCCACTTGAAGTTATAATATTGCACTCCAAGAAACGCCCGTGGGTTTTCTTTCTAACAAAGTTTTCAGAAAGCAAACCACTAGAATTTGCGCAATGAATTCAGCTAGATGACGAGACCGAAAACAAATAATACTTTTTCACCATAAAATCAAGCGACGCGGTGACATTCAGCCCCGCGTTCACAAGGTGATGTGATGCTGAATGTTACGGCACTTACTGCGTTTATAAATCGAAATGGTTGCTTGATTTTGTCACTCGACGAGCTTCATCTGTGAATTGCTGTGCTTGGCGGAAGTAGTGAGCTGCAGGAATGTCTGGGTACGTGGTCGATTATATTTTTAAAAACAATAGTGTTAACCTTTGATAAGCGTTTAGAAATTAAAAATATTTTGTCTATAATAGGGACATCAACGGAGCACTTGAAAATAACATACTGTCAAAACAAATAATTTGAACTGGAGTTTGGCAAAAGTTCTAAAAGTGTTTATGTAAAAATTGAAAACAGGTTTATACCGGTTATTGACACTAGGGATCCAAGGATAGACGTGATGATCTCTTCAACATCAAAGCTGCGGTGCACAAGATATCTGCACAAAAACAAGAATGATTAGTATTGTAATCAATTTCGCATAATGTAAATATGACCGAGCATCTATAGATTTGTGGTGCCTTACGTCGCGATGGTGCCTACAAGACCGCCACCAATGGACGAGTTGATGGTTGACACAGCAGATCTGCAACAAAGGCACGCACTGTGATTATTCCGACGTCGTTACCTTTCCGAGTTGCAGAGAATGGCGAGTGTGGTGCAATATGGTAATCAGTTTGTCGTCTCCCGTACACCCGCCCGCCAATGTCCCCTCAAGTAGGAAGGACGCCGATCACTGCAGTTTGCAGTGAAGCTCGGCGAATGTTGAAACCGAGAGTTAGTCTGATCAACAAATAAAATCTGTGATGGAACACTGGTAATTAGGTTTCTTATGCGGACATCATGCTTTGTTACGTCGTTAACTCGGTTAGTGATTTATACATTGCGTTTCAGGGGAAGTACTAAAGGTGAAGTTGATTCGCGTTGAAGAAATTGGTTTTCACCTCTAACGGAGAGCAGCTCGCGTCCCCTAGGCGACTGGTGGTCGCCAAAAAAACTTTGGACCAGCCGAATTTTTTTTAGCGGCCACTAATGGCCCAGAGGGCACGAGCTCCGGTCCCTCTTAGGTGAAAGAAACTGCGATAGTTAAAACACTATATGGGAATAAAGAAAAAAGAAAATGCCAATAAACGCAGTTAAAGAAGAGAGGACAGACGAGTACACCACACGAACATTGAAGACAGACAATTCAATTGAATCGTGATCCGCCCTTGCTGGAAGTTTTATTGCACGTCTTGAGCGGTGTAAGACAAAATCAGTACAAAGACACGCAAGACAAAGAAAATGTATTTTCGAAATGACCTCTAATTGGTGTTCTGTTGGGTTGGAAGTACTAAGCGATTGCTCATTAACTGTACCGAGAGCTTATTTTTCATCTTAGTTGCGTTTTCACGCATTTTAAAAGTCGAGCTTGTGAAATTATTTATTTGGTGAAATCTGGCTGAACCTAATTTTTTAGTTGATGTCATACCTTTCTTTGCATATATTATGGGCTTCCTCGTACGGTGATTTGCTTTCATTTCTTCCACATCACGCCATCTCTAGGAAGCCTTCGAAAATCCTCCGCCATTCATGAGCGAAACCTTGTGAATGTGTCTCTCGCAACGCTGTAGTTTAGTTATTTGCATAGACGGCAGTACCCGCCTCGCGTTTTCCTCGGTTCCGTGGAGAAGTAGGTAATGGCTTTTATGTACCTGCATTTCCCTCTAGTCTCTTGTTATCTTACTTCAGCACCCTTTACTAAATTACGGAGCCCCAGATTTTAACAAACAATCATATTTGTTATGGCTATTTAAATTGCTTTATTCTTCGTTTCGGCATAAACTGACAAAATGCGAACGCACTAACCTTTGTGAGCCAATTAAAGCGGCGGAGCGAAGCACGATACAGCTATTCACATGTAGAGTGCATTCCAGTGGAGCGGCGTCACGTGCCTCAAGCAGGGGCTGTGATTTACACACCAGCACGGAGCAGTGGAGCGAAAGCTCGCGCTGCGGAACCCAGGTATCCTGGGTTCAATCCCCATCCCTGCTCGTTTCGATCTGGATGCGCATCGTACCGGCGTGTCGTCGTGTACCACTACTGCGTGGTGCACGTTAAAGACCCCAGGTTAGCGGTTGTGCCGCACTGGCTAAATTGCTCAACTTCAGCTGAGACACCAGACGCCCACTGAGGCACACTAGAATCCGGCTCAATAAGCATACACACAACCCAATTATTTACGCTGTGATTTGTCGATTGGGACTGTAGCGTTCACCCATTGCCAAGTTATGTTCGAACGGAGCGCAGAGCAGATTCGATAAACGTAAATGATTGAAACATGGGCGTGAATGATGTCGTGAATACCAATGTGTTCTTGGATTTTTCTTTCCACGATTCAAACCTGTATTGTTTGAAAATTCAACACTACATTTTGTATAATCAAGCGTTTAAAGCAAGAGGGAGGGGGGGGGGGGGGGAGTTAGCGCACCACATCTCAAAGAATGTGGCACAATTATTTGTGCTGCAAAATCCAGAGATCCTAGATTCGAACTCTCTCCATTTCTGCTACGATTTGAATGAACATTGCGCGACGCGCGGTCTTGTTATCACTACTGCATGAGGCGGGTTAAATGCCCCCAGGCTATCAATTGTACTGCACTGGCTAAATGTCTTATCAAAAGCGGTATTCACACGGCCGAGAAATCCTTGTAGGTGTGTGAGGACGACGACAGCGGGCGCAATTTTCTCATCAGCTTCGTCGTTCGCTCTGACGATGTGCCGGGGGGAGGGAGTTTCACTGTTTGCAGTCAAATTCAGCGGTTTCCACACTTCATACCACCGGAGACGAATTTAGCAAACTCTAAATTTGGCCCCAAAGAGTTCAACGACAAAATGTTGTTGAAAACAAACTGATCCGCCGCCAAACCAGAATTGTTTATGCCGCCCGAGCGTCCCTCCCCCCCTCCGCCGCGTTGCTGACGTCATAGGGATGCATAGTAAAAGCCTGAGATTTTCGTAGCGTCATGCGCGCGCTGGAGTGAATACCGCTTAATTAAAACGTTGATATTTTTTTTGCAGTACTAGAGCAGACCGACCTCACGCTGTCTAAAAGCTGTTGTCTATATTGCTGCCTTCCTTTTCAATTGATTAGACCAATTATTGAGAACATGTCAGTACAGACCAAGCACTTCTGATTACACACTAAATAATATGCTCACGCAGAGACGAATCTGTGAACACACATGTAAAAGATGAAGCCAGGACGGGCAAACAGCCAGACACGTGCATGTCCTTCTGTTCTCGCACACAAAGGTATAAAGTACACACTTGTTCTCTCTGCACGTAAACACGTACTTTCGTCGAGACTTGGAAGATAATTCGTTACAGGTAACGGATTACTTGTTATCTGTTATTTTTTAAAGTAATTTTGTAATTGCCAGGCTACTTTTTTGCGTCAGTAATTTTGTAATGTAATTTCGTTACACATGATTGTAACGAATTTTTTCAACTACTTGTTATCCGTGTCTTCTACATTCCCTCTCTTAAATGAAGAATTTTATTTTTACATGGGTAAATGGAAAGTTGGGTTGCAGGACATTTCTTAAAATATCAAAATTGCTGTCTTGAGAAGTGTACGGGAAAAGTAATGTGAAAGTAATTTGTAAAGTAAGAAGTAAAGTAGTCTGTTACTTTTGAGTGAAAATAATTTTTAACGGTAATCCATTACATTTGAGGATCGGTAATTTGCAATTGTAATCCGTCACATTTTTCAAATAACAGACACAAGTCTGCATGCGGCAATATGCACGATGCTACACAGATTCAACGTGCGACAAGTTTAATGGTAGTGCACAATCGTCGGTTTTCATTTGCTTTTTCTAGACGACTGAACCTTTATTATATCTTCTTAGAGTTCCAATATGGCCACGTGCGGTCTCAAGTTGCCAATTTCTAAAAGGTACTGTCACACACCTTATGTTAGGCGTGGGGTGTATATAGCGCAACAAAGAATGGCATGAGCTATCTGTCGGAATCGACCCATACAGGTGGGTCAATTCCGACAAATAGCTCATGCCATTCTTTACTGCGCTATATACACCCGAGCAATATATTACTGACTCCACTTCTAAAATGAGCTCTTCTCCCGTTTTAAGGGTTGTATCAAGATTCAACTAAAACGCAAAATTTACTCAACTTTTTTGTTTTACAGGAAACGGCTGTGAACTAGGCATTTATCTGGTCTATCGCGTAGCTGACATTGAACGGCTGAAATAAGCTGATAAGCTTATATATTGAACAATAGCTTTTGGTATAGATATTGATTAGTTGTTGCACGTTTGAAACCTTGGACGCACTCAAGGAACACATACATTAAATGTACCAGGAAAAAATGCACCTACTGGCACCCATGTTCGCACTAGTGCGTGAAAATACACCCATTTCCCCATTTACACGGGAAAAATGCAAGACAAGCAACGCAGTTAAAAGTGAGACACACTCATTAATATAAAAGTGGTTGCTTGGATTTAGTGATATATCCTTTAATCTTACAAGCTAGACACCATCCTTTGCGGAACTTCAATTTGTGCTAAAATTGTACAATTATTGATTTTATTGAGGCTACGTGCTACTATCTGGGTTTCATGCGCTATGTATTAAACAGGAAAATTACCTTTTCCATGAGTAGAAGCTGGATTCGATGTAGAAACGCATTGTGCTTTGACTGTTGTTTCAGACATCAGGAACCAAGTCATTCCCGCTATCTGGTGAAAGGTGATAGTTTTGCGTGCATCTTTTTTTTTTTTTTATTCCTGATAATGGCTCTAGATACACATATGTTTTAGTAATGAATAGGTAAAATGTGGGTTTTAGCTAATATTGTATCTCCTTACCTGGCTGCGAAATGCCATTTCTCGTCTGATATTCCGAAGGTGCTGCCGCTATTGAAGACCAACGAGCCCCACCTGTGTGGACAGAAGCAAAAGTTGATGAAAGAGACGTGCCCTCTGCTATCTACAACATTACATGCTATTAGAAATTGTCAGTGAAGCTTTTTTTTTTAATATTCGATTAAGTGGTGCATAAGATTACGTGTACTGTGTGGTTAAATTTAGTTTACTCTGTCTGTAACTCCAGTGACGAAAAGCATCATATGATTAAAATAGAAAACGGCTTCGGGAGTAGAGCTGTCAGTACGAAATGACCAACGTGCAAGAATCGCACAGGGGTTAAAAACTTGAATGACGTTTAGGCTTCGCCTTCAAGAGAGGAATGCGATAGCTAAACATAAAAACTCCCGCTCGTTCCCAAGCCGTGCCAGCGTCTCTGTGTGATCTACTCAGTAGCGTGAGTGGTTCGCAATCTAATTGTCGTGGGTTCGAATCCCACCTGAAAGTCTCCAAATTTTGCTTTAATGGAAATTTATTACTTTATGAATTAAAATCAATTTACACATGCGAAGGCCTATAATTCGCATTACATGTCATGATTTTTTAATCACGTTCATTCCACGCGTGACGTCATGTTTCGCATGAGCATTGTTTTTTTTTTTAATTCCTGCGCGAGGTCACGCGGCCGTGACGTCATTACCTTATCAACCAGTCAGGATTTTCCCGTCGCAACGCCACCCAGATGGGCTTCTCTGCGACACGTGCTCCTTACCGCTGTCGCGTTAAAATGTGCACCACCAGAGTAAAAGCCCGAAACCGCGCGTTTGGGACAGGAATATTTTAGACTGAACCCGTTTTAAAGTTGACGAGGAGCTCGATCCGAACTTTTTTTGGAATAGAATGTTTATTTCACCGTTGCAGCTTTAGCTAAGCAAAGGGGGGGGGGGGGGGGGGGGGGGTATATATTTCGGCCTTTTGCTGAACAATGTGGGCAATAAACCGCGCAATCCCATTTGTTGTTTGAGGACGCCTTAAGCATTTTTGAAAGCGAATGACAGCAAATCTGCTCTTTGTTGATTGGCAGCACAAACATGCATGGTCGATAACCTGATGAGACTTGCTACTTGCCGTGAGCATAACAATGGTTTTAATGGCTGAATACCAATAAGAGTGTCTGTTTCCAGGTGATAAAAACGTGACAACATCAAGGTTTAGGTGAAATATGTGTTTTTACGATTTACTATAGGTGCCGATTCAGGAAAAAAAAGCTGCCGCTTATAAAATGTTGGATTTTAAGTACAAAAATCTGCGTCAAAAAAACAACAGCCTGCGTGGCTCAGTTTCCTCTCTAAGTTCAGCCTAGTTCGTCTGACCATATTTTGCACAGTAAAATATACAAAATAAAAAGCGCAACTTCATTCAAGGCACTATTTGCGCAGGTCTAAAATATGCGCTTCCTTAGATTGAAATATCGTCATGCCTTGATGTTTTCTAGATTAAGAAAAATAAACTACGATCGCAATGCCCACATCTATCTCCCAAAGTGTGCCACGTCAAATCACTCATTCATTTCCTTCCGCCATAGGACGTACTCTTACACAAATTGGCAAGAGGCTGAAACGTATACGTGCCAGGTTAGGTTTTTGCACCATTAAGCGTACGGTATACTTTATTTGAGTATCACTTTGCTTGCTCAGAAGAAGCAATACTATATGCGAAGGACTAGGTGGTGATCTGGTCATTAGATAATTTTAATTTGAAATATTATATTATAGCCTGCTAAGTGGCGAGCTTGTTACACCTACCGTGAAACAAAGCATGGACGAAGACAGAAATATAAAATATATTAACCCGGGGGAAGTATATTGTGGTCCATAAATGAGTGAGAGGAAAGGGACAGAAAAGCGATTCTAGCTTTACAATCCCGTCTCGCTGACGAGCTGACCCACTACTTACCTGATCCTTTGCCAGTGCTACACTTTCCTCGGCACTAATCAAACGTACCAAATTGTTAGGTGGGCTCATTACAATAACGTATGCAAAAATGAAAAAAAAAAAAAATTAATTTATGGATTTTGCGTGGCAACCAAAGAAGTAGAATACAAGGGGTGCTTTGAGCTCGACCCCACGCCTTTATGTTTTAGATGCTCGTTAGCAACTTATATACTACGCAAAAAGCCGATGAAAGTGGCCCTGTTCACACATCGGCGTCTGAGTGCGATCAAGCGCGTTATCTTCCCTTGTAATTGCTTACGACGTTAGAACACACTGGCGCCATCAATTAGGTGGCCGTAAAAGATCTCCAACCTGCGCGAACATTTGAACACTTTTTACGGATTATATTTTTACCGCTTGCTTTAAATAATACTGACAGTGTGTGAAGAAACTATTTTTCATAGATGGTGCGTAGATTTGAGCTGATAAATACTGCAAAAACCTTCAGTATAGCGACACGGAAATGGGGTATGTTCCAGGGCTACCGAATTGTAAGAATATGAAGTGAAAGATAACTGCCAAAAGAAAGGCACTTATCTTTCACTTCATATTCTTACTAATAAACTAACCGTGCCCGGCAGAACCGCAAATCTACCTAATAGATGGTGACAGTGTCTTATCTTCTCGTAAACGCTTACAGTGTAACGTAACGAAACCGAGCGCAATCAAACGCAAGTGGGTGAACAAGCCTTCGGGGTTTACTTTACAATGATATTAACAAAATTCCTTCTAGCGGCGTCAGCACATTGGAATGGGAAACAAAGCAGGAAGTGAAGACGTATACCAGAGCGTGAAGGCTCCAATCATGGCGTTTGTAGGGTTGCCCATCCTAGGCCTCCGGGCCCTGTCCCACTTGAGTCTGGGTCCTAGCATGATGGCCGACATGAGACCGGACGTGCCTCCCAGCAGGTGCACGCAGGCGGAACCGGCGAAGTCGATTACGCCGAGCTTGTTGAGGAAGCCATGCTTGCTCCACACCCAACCCGCCGGAATGCAGTACATGAGCGTGCTTAGCGCTGAGAAGAACATGTACGCGTGGAAGTTGGTCCTCTCGGCCATGGCACCGGAGACGATGGTGGTGGCCGTGGTGGCGAAGGAAAGCTGGAAGATGAACATGGCGAATTCTTCACCCATCACTTCGGAGCTTGCGTCGAGAAAGAAGGAGCCGACGCCGCAGAAGGGATTGGTGCCTGGACCACGTCCGTTCTGGAGGCCATAGCCCACGGCCCAGTAGGTGAGGCCGCCCAAAACCACGTCCACGGCGTTTTTCATCAGGATGTTCACTTCGTTCATCTTGGATACGCACCCGGACTCGAGGAGACCAAACCCTAGAGGTGCACGTTCTAATGTCACACGTAACGTAAGAAGTGGAGAGGGCGTGAAAACGTAGGTTACTAATTCCGTAGCTATGCGATTACCTAGGTAGTAGCTCAAGTAGGTTCACAGTGTTCTTCCCAACTTAATAACACGGTATGCAGCAGAGCCTATTTGAAAGTAGAGAACGCATAATGAGGGTCATATGCAATGTATTGTTTTTTTTCTCTGTCTCGGTTCGTTAGCGCAGTGTTCAAACCATTCTACACCAATATTCGTCTCCCATTAGAGCGGGCGTGCGAACTGCAAACATTAGAACATTGGAAATACACATCGGAACAAATTTCAGGTTTGTTGTTGGTTCGGCTTGCTCGTAATCAATTTAGCACTTGGATTCTTTGAGGATTGTGTAAGGAGAATACACACTTCGTTTTCACATTTTAATAAAATTATGTATGTATTTATTCATGCACGATACCTTGTTTCCTGATGGATAGTGATGTATTATGGTTGAGCTTCTATACACATCACATGATAAGAGTATGAAATTCCCATTAGTGATAAAGTGAAGCCTCGTTGATTGTTGTTGAAGGACATTTTTCCAGATAGGTTTTCTTGGGTCACCTTGATAGTTTTGATATATACACATGCAGGTACACTAAACTTGGCGCAATGTAGAAAATCATAGAAAGGTAATATTTTGGGCTACTAAATTATGCTAAAATGAATTTGGTAATTTTTTGTATGTTCTGCTATGTAATCACTGTGTCTTAGTGTAGGAACACGTCACTGTCGTCGTTTCGTTTTTTTTTGTGTGGTTTTAATTAATTTGTGATGGAAGTACCTTGTATGTGATGGAAGTACCTTGTATTACTGTATAATTTCTCATGTTCTTTTATTTTACTTTCTGTAGCCCTGCCTTGTACTTGAGGGGGCTGAGGACCAGTCAAGCTGCTCGGTCAGCTTTTCATACTCAGCTCCCACCATACTTACGCGGTAAATAAATGTTGTCGTTACCATTATTCTTGTAATTATTGCTCTTATTATTTTTTCTAGGGTATTGCACAGTATGCCTTAAAACGCTGAACATAACCTATATTTGTGAAAAATGGTAACGAGGGTAATAATAAAGACATTGAAATTATTTTTACAGTGTGTTTATGGGGAGCAACATTAAGCAAGTAGTGCTACATATGACGTCCATAGAATCATGTCCTTGTAGCTGTATTTTAATATCCAACTTCAATGTCAGAGGTAAGTGGTGTAGTAACCTGAGCGCTCATGTTATATGTAGTCATGCCTCCTTATAAAAAAAGGCGAATGCAAGAATATGACATTTTAGTGAGAAGCTTACAAGCAGAACTATAATATGATTGGGATTATATTTGTTTTATCAATAATATGCGTTAGTAACTTCAAAGGGATCATGTAAGTATATGTAATTAAACAAATATAAAAAAGAAACTGATACAAACGAAGTTGAGTATACCAACCTGTTTTCTTTTTAAGCGCCATAATTGAAGCTATGGTTCGGTGTTTTGTCTCTTTTTGGTACCTTAATATTTTGTCTTCTCAAGCTTATCTGCAAGTCGTTGAGTGCACAGCGAGTGTTTATTACAGAGCATTAAATGTTCCTCACTCATAGACATTTAAATCTATCACTCAGTTTTAATACCGAATTTACACCTGTCAGCTTTGTACTAGCCACAAGGTACATTGGCGGCAAAAGTAAGGTCAGACACTGTTAGGCATCGACGTGGCTCACTGTTAGCACAGAATGGCAAAATCCTGTGCTAACAGTGACTATTCCTGTGACAGCATCTGTCACAGGAATAGTTTCAACTAGAACTTTAACTTTAACTAAGGAAAACAAAAACATAAAAGATCAACACAATCGTAGACGTTACTGCTCTTCAAAGAATATAGCCGCTCCTGAAGAAAAAGTAATCGGTTTTTAAGCGTTGGACCCCTAGTGTTGTAGAGATTGGTTGGGGTTTCTTTATTTCCTGAGAAAGAAAGCTCAATGACCGATTTGCCCTGGAGAGAAGTTTTATTCAGTCTTGTTCATCCTGATATAAATGTTTCTTGCTTGATGATTCTTTGGTATTAATAAGAAACAAATGCACATGGGAATCATAATGATAATGCCATTAATGCAAAGTAGCAATCGAAATGGACAAGGATGACGATAAGAATCCCTGAACCAGGGGGATTTTTTCGGTCGCGCACCAGTCACCTAGTTGTGTTTGGAAATTTGTATTTGTCCTTTGTCCCCTCAGTTCCCCTTCTTCAGGGAGTCTTATCGGCACATGAAAAAAACTAAATGATAAAGAAGCGCAATTTAAGACTATTTTCGGAATTATTTTTAATGGAAAGCCTTGCTTTAAATGTCCATGGTAAAACTGGTCTGATCGAAATCACTATTTAGATCATGATTTAGGTTAGAATTCGAGTCATTGTGATTTTTATTCTCAACCCTGCTTTTAAGAGCTATCAAAGTAATATATATATATATATATATATATATATATATATATGTATATATATATATGTATATATGTATATAAATAATTACGATTTAGTATACCACTTGTTGTTCGTTCATTACTTGGCAGCCATAGCGAAATTCACGACTAAAACGACTCACCCGTCTGCATAGTGAAGATGACAAACGATGACGTCAGAACCCACGTGGCGTCGTCGGGCTTCATGCTCTGCGGGTCCACAATCATCTCGTCGCCTTTTGTTCCGGGCCTGGTGCAGATGTCCGGACTCTTTCGGGAAGTTGCAAGTCCGAATAAGCGCGCAGGCAGCACCAATTAGCGTGCCGACCGCGATCTAATTGGTTCGCGAGAGCACCGCGACCTCGCAGCCTCCGCGTCCTTCCTTCTCCTTTCGGGGCCTTTTTTCCTCTAAGCTTCCTCCCTAAATCTTGACGTCTATCCGCAATTCGCGAGATGCAATCCCGTTTTCCCCACACTCCGGTCGCCACGCTGAGCGCGAAATGACTCGCCGTCCCGAGACGACTGACTCGAGCCGTCCGACGCGTAATGTTTGGCTGGCTGCGGCCGTGCTCGGAGAGCCACGCTCCCGTGAGAGTTGATGCACAGACGCATTGGAGCAGGAAGCGACTCGGGAGATGATGGGAGAGGGAGGCTGGAAGAGCGTGGGAGAGAGGAGAAAGTGGGGTAGGAAAGAGGAGGAGAAACCGGGGGGAATAAGCGAAAATGTGTCTGAGGCCAATAGGGGGCATTGAGATCTCGGACCGCTGTCCTGTGGCAACGAAACCGTGTCGACAGATCAGCAGGTATAGACCTCGGCCGCCCTGGTAGGCCGCTCGTTCTTGGGCTTTTTCATAGAGGATGTGATCTTTCTGTGCTGCTTGGTTAGGTTGGAGGCCTATAACAAAGTACATGCATAGAAAAAAAGCCTTAAACTGAAAGTAGCTGGAACATAAAACGACAGGTGGGTGACAATGTATTAACTAATATACTATCCGCGTTACGCAAGTAAGTCTTTGCTCCATCTGAGTGAAGTTAAAACGGGGCTTTGAGTTCATTATTGATCCTTCTTTGTATGTTAGTCTTTCATTCATTCATACATACATTCATTCATTCATTCATTTATTTTCCGTGCTAATGAATGGCGAGTAGCCTAATTAACGATTCACATAGTCAAAAGGAGCACACTCAAGAAATATACGGCACTTGCAACAAATAATATCTATTATTGGGGAACAAGAAATGGACAACGGTTAAATATCAGTCATTAAACGCCTAAAAGCTTTAACATGTTCACCTTAGATTTTACACAACCAGAAGTAGAGATGGGGTACTCTAAATTCCAGTTTATATCGGGGATATTAAAATCTCCTACAATAAGTATACGGTATTTTTCTACGTCTGGTTGATCACAAAGAAGATTCATTTGTTCCGAAAATCCGGTGACATCAAGGGTTGGCGGGAAGTAAAACTTGCCAATGAGCAATTTGGAGTCAGAAAAAGTTATTCCTCCCAGGGAGATTCATCGCTAAATTCAAGGTCAATCGCCGTACCACCTGCAAACGTTTTTTTTTTAACTGAAATAAGTACACCACACCGGAAGTTCGTCGACATGCCATCATAATTACGATTTCTACGAAATACAGTATATGCTGGAGGAAAGTAATCAGGGGATCAAAAACTGAGAGACGTTTACAGCACCCTGTAATGCGAAATTAGAGCGCAGCTCTTGAGGAGGAGGGAAGGGTATTCAGGAGAGGATATACCCCTCCTGCCTCCTCCTCACTCCTTTCCTCCCTGCTACTCCTTCTCCCCTAATTTCTCCTCTTTTTCTTCCTCCACGTCCTTCTCCTCTCCTCCTCCTTCACCTCCTCCTCCCCTCATGCTTCAAGCTCCTCCCCTCCTCCCTCTTTCCCTTCTCCCTGCCTTCCTCCTCCCCTTTCCTTTTCCTCCCGCTCAGCTCGTCCTCCCCGCACCCCTCGTCCTCCTCCCCCTCCTCCTCCCTCTTCTTCTCCCCGCGCGTTGCATCATAGGAAATGTCCCATAATGCACCCGCGCGGTGCGTTATGAGACATATCCCATAATGCACCGCGCGGTTACGCCGACGGCAACGGCGACACCGACTCCACTCAAGCCGGAAACGGGAGCCGAAGAGCTGCGCTCTAAAAGAGCTGTTCACCCTAATGAAATTATGCCGTAATCACTCACAGCTACATATTTATAACATGTTTTGGCCTTAGTACGTAGTCCTGGAACGTTTTGAGAGAATACAGAGCACTCCATAAAGAAGTGAAACTTTTTTTCATTAAGTCGACACTGCAGTTGAAGTATCTGGTCAACCCTTAATGGCCCCAAAAATTGTCCAAAGAACGAACCCATGGGCCAAACGTCATCAGTTTAAGCGTCATTGTTTGCTTGGGTTGTTTTAATGTGAGCTGGAGGAAATGAAACCTCACCGTCCGAACACTTTTCGAGGAAATGAGGTTCGCGGGCAGACTGCAGCGAGAGGCGGTTGATTTCCAACCGTGGCAGTTGTTTATCCAACGCACCTTGGAAAAGAAAGAAAAAAAATCGCTCCGGTGTAATATAATAATTTTCAATTTCTTAATATAGATTTGAGATTGTTTTAGAGTTTTGGACGTCAGAACAATATACAATTTGTTGTGTGTGTAAGGTTACATTGAAGTAAAAAAGTCTCAACTTTTTTATCTTCCCTTTGTGCATACAGATAAGGGATGAGCAGTATCGCTATAGCATTAAGAAATGCATTTTGTATTTATATTTCTGTATTGCGATACACATTTTCAAGCGTATTTTGTATTTATGCATTGAAATACATTTTCCGGTGTATTTCTAATATTGCGATACATTAGGGGCCGTTGTATCTCGTTAGAATTTTTGACAAACCATCATCTTCCAAACAAAAACTCAAGATAACTTTTCTTTGTCTTGAGAAAGTAGAGGGCGGTGTGAAGGGCACACTGAGGTTTTGTTATTTTGCAAACTTCTCCCCAACTATACTAACCCACTTCTTTATTTTGCAAAGAGAACAAATGTTGCCCCGAAGTTAATCGTCGACTGTTCTTGTTAATTCCAAAATTGTTGGCGCTGCCTGCACGTCGAACCAACAGTTAACAGAATACTGTTTTATTCTACCTCGACACCATAACATTGCTCTGAAAGTGGTGCCCAGGTTGAACAAGGGCATGGTGACATCTTGGGCTTATTTGTGAACTCACTAGTTTAAAAAAAACAGTTAGGGCGCAGGCGAGATGGTGTAGGTTTACCATTTTTTAGACCACCTGAGACTGGGTGGAAGGCACAAGACGACGTGTTGGTGTTAGACTGGTGGCAACTGATAAAACCCGTTTGCTCTACTGACGTCTAACCCCTGGTTGGCTCGATTGGTAGAGCGCTCTACCTGTAATGGAGAGATCCCGGGTTCGATACCCGGACCAGGCGGATTGTTTTGGTCGCGCACCAGTCACCTAGCTGTGTTTGAAGATTTGTGTTTGTCCTTTGTCCCTCTTGTTCCTCTTCTCCAGGGATTATTTTCATCAGTCTCAATACATCGTCTTGTGTCTTCCGCCCAGTCTCAGGTGGTCTAAAACATGGCAGAGTTTTCTGGTATTTTCCTTTAGAAGGACTAGAAATGCCGATACTAATTGCACTGCAGCTCTGATGGAAAGTGGTTTTCAAACTATTAGAACTACTGCTCACTTCCCCTATGACTACACAAAATCCCGCTTGTTAAATTTGCGAGAAATTCATTTAAAGCGCAAAAACGTCAACGTCGAAATTCAGGCTAGATCTTAGAGCGAGTAATCATTTGTTGATTTGAAAGAAAATTTAATATAATTATTTAAAGGATTGTGGATCACATATGTTTTTGTTTTTGTTTTTCGTATACATTAGCGGGCGCACACCACCAGTACTACGAAGTACAACACCAAATATAGTAGTTAAAAAAATGTTGTCAGTATATATATTTCTGTCAGAGCAAAATGTATTTCTACAGTTGTATTTTAAAATGCTTTCTTATATTTAAACGTGTGTTTGATACATATCGGGCTACTTTACAGATGTATTATACTCTCAGTATTTCAGAAGCCTTTGCCCTATATCCCAGTTTTATTGTTCCGACATACATTTTAGGGTATAATTTCTGCCCAATTCTGTAGCTGGCGGGACAATGTCCGAAGTACTGTAGATATTAACGTGCAAACTTCGCTTGGATTATGAGAGTATGGAACATTGTATCTTTCTTAGTACATACTGACACTTTCTGCAAACTTGTTTTAAATATTAACGACCTTCTTTTTCTTTTCGAAATTTTATGGGCTTGTTGTTTGTGATCTTAGCCGTAATATTGACGCCTGAACGTTCTGTTAAAAAAGTCGTAAAAGGTAGGGTATTATACTACTGACAACTCAGAAAACACATTACACGACGAGTCCCGAGTTCATTATTACGTCTCTACAGCCAATAAAATAGCGTAATCAGCTGATATAAGACCGGAGAACGAATCACAATTTAAGAAGCTTAATCATGATTGCCCAGGCCTGCGCCTTTAAGCGGTCAGTGATTATAGTTTTATTTTACACAGCCAGTTTTGGGAGAGAATACACGAAACCATACACTAACACTTAAATTTGCTCATAGTTGTAATACTGGAACCCAAGTGCGAAATAAGTAAAAATATTGAATTGTCAGCTTAACGCTACGGTTGGGGGTCTATTAAAACGTAAGTAAATTTCATACTTTTATTACAAACAATCTCAAAAAGCAGGAACACATTCTGCACATCACTGGTTAAAGAAAGGTTCAAAGAGTGTATGCCGGCTACTTTTCAAGACCTTAAACATCAAATTATTGCATCTGTAGATTAAAAAAAATAGGGGCCAGTTGACTCATGTGTTGCATTAAATGGACTGTTGTTTTGATGTACGTCACGCTATGTATGGTGCTCAGGTTAAATTCAAAGAGCCTCCAGGACCATGATACTTCTAACTTTGAACCTGTGCCGAAAACGTTTCTGCCTTTTATATAGTTCTTTAAATAAAATTATAAACTCTTCTTTTTATTTTTATTTAGCCATGTATTTGTAGGGGTATTTAAGATCAGCTAATTTTTATTTTATTAAAAAGTACACGTTTCAAACGCGAAAATCATCATACTGAATTTTCTAAGAGCAGCTTTGCCCATCGCAACAACTAATGCGCAACACTTGA